GTACGGTCTTCAACACGGAGCCTTGGCTCACACCGAACAGCAAGCTTTAAAGGGCCCCAAAATTACTAGTGTAAAATCATTCAAACGGGAAAACCAACGGTCTAATCTATATAAAAACGAAAAACGAGAAACACTTATGAACCACATCAACAAACGACAACTACTGAACATCAGATTCCTGACTTAGGACAGGTGCAAACAATTGCAGCGGGTTTAGACGCTTTAATGGTACCAAACCTTCACCCTTATCTGAAACGATAGTGTAACATCACAATATAGAAAGACACTATAAAATATCAATTGAAATGGCGTAACTCAATCAAAAGACATATTAACACCAGTGAACATACACTGAACAAATAAATTTGATATATGATACAATGTAAATACAAAATAAATAAACTAAGTGAAGTATAATTAAAGTAACATGTTATACCGCTGTGAAATGTTAAACAATTTAAGAAAAACAATATGCTTGAACAAAAATATCAGCCATTTGCAATTACTTTAAACTCAGGTAAATGAAAATAATTTTGTTGTTAGGTATACGTGTACAGTTCAAAGAGAGAAAGGAAATATTTTTACAAAATAAATAATTTTGATGTCCATAGTACGAAGAAGTGAACATTTATAGTAATACCAAACACTTATTAAAGCTGGTATATAGACCAGATATAACCCTGAATAACATTAAATAACAAAAAAGCATTACAATTAGTATCAACAGATCAAATAAACAAGAAAGTACGGTTTGAGAGTACTCGCAGTTACTGACAGCTAGTTAAAGGCCAAAAACAATTAATAATAAAAAATCATGCATCAGAGACTAAAATCAACTAAAACACATTCCCAGGGATTTAGTATTTTAACGTCATGTACAGTCAAAGAAGACATGACTTGTGCAATGCCAAATATAAATGTATCGACAGGCAGTAGGATAGTTAGGAGTTAACCTCTTTATAGATCAAAATGAACGTGGGTGTGTCTTTATACATCCCGTTTGAAAAGAATACAAATTTAGTTATGTTTTAATTTGCTGATGATAAAATCGATATTAGTGCCAATGTAAACTATATTCAAAGATCTAATTACAACATTGACGGTAAGATAACCTTTACTTATAAGTTTGTTTAAAGGTTCGATGAGTTTACATGTATCACATAGTGATTTCCGCGCTTTAAGTACAATTCTGTTTACAAATATGCGATTCAAAGAACTGACTATTATTTCAATAGCAAATTTGATTTAAACATTTTTGATTTTTGAAGCCATATGTGATTGATTTTGTTATATTGTATAATGTTTTATCAAATTTATGATGAAATGAGATTTTTAAATTTTATTTTTTATAACATACAATTTAAATCAAAGTACTGAAGTACTGAACATCGGATGGCCGCAAGTTCTGGTGGATGGTCACAAACACTTGTCTCAGAAAAAATCACTTCTCTATACCTGAAAGTTAGATTGAGGTACATAGATATATTTTTTCTATGACAAGTTCCTGTGTGGATGATGAATAAATGACAGGGAATTCAACCTCACCGTAATAACTATTATAGTGTATTGATATAATCATTTGTTATCAGTATACTCTGGTTTGTTGTTATATATTATATTAATATTTTTATAACAGTTATATATAATTTGCATCCATTTGTATATCATTCTATTCTACTATTCTAATGATAGCGCAGTGCAAGTGCATGGTGGACACTCTTCTTTAATACTTCGTTTTTCTAACAGATTGTATTTGAGTAGGCATTCATATTTTCCCGCGTTTGTTACAAAACGTTCTTGAGATATTCTTCCGCTTGCGTTAACATAAATTTTCGGTTTTCTTGATTTGTTATTGATATATATATATATTTCTCACGAAAAAAAAATTTCATATCATTTATCTATGTTCTTAAAAATTATTTTCAGAAATATTTATTGATAAAACTACAAGCGATAAGGAATGTTATTTCGCACTCGATAATGTCCGCGTATTTATACGATCGGTTACCAGTCAAAAACGAAATAGAAATCTCTGTGGCAACAATACACCGGAATGCCCTCATTGTTATCCGATGTAAAAATCAAAGATTTTATTCTTATAAAATTGAGATTGTAAATGCATACACGCCTCCGGGTGCGGGAATTTCTCACTGCATTGAAGACCTGTTGGTGACCTTCTGCTGTTGTCTGTTCTATGGTCGGGTTATTGTCTCTTTGACACATTCCCCATTTCCATTCTCAATTTTATGTAGCATTAGACTGTGACTGATTTTAGAAATAATGTCAACTACATGTTTTGATATGATTTCATTGCAAATAATGGATACCCGTTATTTTTATTCTTATTTCTATGTAAAATGTAAAACTAATATTGTCGACATCACGATATTATTAACATTTAACATCGTTAACATTGTAAGAACTCTTATATATTGTTTACATCGTTATCACTGCGATGTGTACGTTGTAGTTACGATATCGTGTTAACTTTACAAAGTTTACATCGCAATACTGACGATGTTAACGATGTAAACACAAAGATATTTATTCGGTAAACAACATTAACGATGTTGTCAAAATCGCGATGTATACGATGTGAAAGATGTAAACACAAAGGTAGAGACTTAGGGGACGACCATTTGATATTCTGGGGAGAGGGGGGGGGGGGGGGGGGGGGTAGGAGGATTTTGAAAATAAATAACTCAGCCTTGATCATAACAAAAATGAATGGTTTGTTCTGTGGTAGTTTGAAAATAAATAACCTGACTTATACAATGTATTGAAAATAACTTGGCAGGTCTTTTAAGCCATTTTATAAATGCTATTCTGAAGTATGAGATGGCACCAGATTCTTCCAAAATTCGTCTTTTTTCATATTTTTTTCGGGAAAAACTTCCCAAATCTTTTAATAATATAAATATTAATGTATTTGAAATGTTTGAAAATGGGCTTCATTTCACTTGAGGTATATTGTCTCGTGAACATTTACCTCACTTTTATTTAACAGGGCCGTAACTACATTGAGGCAAATGCCTCATGTTGGAAATTTCAAAACAAAAGCTTGTCTTCATATCAAATTGTTTTCACGGCAAGTGTCTTGCAAGAAGCAAGTTCTGTTCACCCTCTGACGTAGCCACTGTTTTTTGAGATCCATGTTTCTCATTTATTTTTATTTTTCAGTGTTGATTGTCTTTAATGTTTGTCGTTTTGTGTTTTATCTGTTCCCGGGTTTGTCTTTTGTTCATTGATTGCCCTTCTTTATGACTATTCTCTTAGTGTTGCATTCTATTTGTAATTAAGTAATTATGTTTTAAACTTTAGTTTTATTATATTTAAGGACCTTTTGTCTATTACAAACTACTTTAAATTGTATCCCAGTTAGGAACTACATCAAGTTGTAATTGAAATGTGTTATAAAAACTGACTTGACATAATTATATCAATGATAATCAGCCCCCTCTTAACTTAATTTGAAAAAAACATAATTGACAGGTATAAAAGGTTTTTCTGCAAACTGAAACATTTTTTGCTTTGTCCTACATATTGGTCTTTTGATGTTGTCCCTAAAAACTAAAAGTCTTACACTGAATCTATATATTTTGCTTTGAGACCAGAATATTGTAAAAAAATTAAAACAGAACTTGCGTTTCAGATTAAGAAAGGGTCTGGGAAACGCGCATAATGCATGATTTTGCGCCATTTTTTCTATAGCTTCTTGGGGCCTTCAGCGAACCCCAGACTCTTCGCTGATTTTTTTTTCGCCTCGCTCCGCTCGGCGAAAATGTTTGACAACTTTTAAAAGAGGCTAGTTACAGCCCAGCTTTAATACCTTGTACGTATGCAATATATGCAGTTTGCAATTCAGAAGATTAACTTCCAGGGGATGATGATTAATTCTGATTGACTTAATTGACTATGTTATTTATTTAAGAATTTAAAAATTGTATGTTTTCAAATATTATAAATATAATTGTGAAAATAGATAATCAGTCCCTTGTTTTAATGAAAATGAAAAATCATGCTTCAACACTGCAGAAAATAAATAATCTGTCCTTTTGGTCCACAAAAAATAAATAACCCATCCAAAACAAATCCTCCCCCAATCCCCCCAGAATATCAAATGGTTGTCCCCTTAGATTGCAATATAAACACTATACAATGTGGTAACGATGCCATGTTTACATCACGATGTTGGCGATGTGAACGATATGAACGATGTTAACACAAAGGTATTGACCGTGTACAAAATATAAACACGATGTTGACTCGCTAAATTGTCAATATCGCGATGTCTACGATGTGAATGATGTAAACAAAAAGGTATAGACTTGGTATACAATAAAAACAACGCAATGTCTCATGATTATGAGAACAATTTAATAACAAGGTACAGACACTATACAATGTAAACACAATAATGACACGATTCAGTAGACATCGCGATGTTGACAATATCGATAAAACATCGTGTACTGGACATACGGCATTGCATCATATTTTTTTCACTTTGATAAATGTTTTTAAACAATTATATATGTATCTCAAATATTGTTAGCTGTTTTCTTATTTAACTACCGGTATATCAATAATTCTTTGATTTTTTTATGTTAACGGTGCACATTTTCGTATTTCTTTTCTAAAGTTATAGATATTAAATTTCACTCTTTACAAATAACCTGCATGCAAAATAACAAATTCATCATATATATTGCCGGTACAGGTAAAATAACCATTTCTATAGAAAAGAAAACGTTCAAATGTGTTATCAAATATGTTATCCGGGTCAATTTAAAAACATTTGAGTCTCGAAATGGTTTTTTAATGATAACATGGGATAAGTTTTTTTAACCCATGCCACCACCTTTTTAACCAGTTCCTGAAAAATAAATAACATTCGATTTCGGGGAAAATAGCAGAGCTGTCCGATTTTATCCGTGATTTAATTTCTTTGTGACTGGTACCCAAGCATAAATATGACTCCCTTGTCTCTACTATATTCCGACTTGTTGATACCAGATTATTTAAAAAAAAGGGGAAACCAATACAAATGTATTAGTAGAACTAAAGGGTAATTTTAAAAACTGCAAACACGTTATAATCAGATATATAACAGAAATACGGAATAAGATTGATTCACTGTTTTTTTCAATTGTCATTCGTGATCGTCAATGTTACATTTTGCTAACTACTGTACCGTACTATCATACTATGCTTATAATGGGATGCTTTCTGCTAATTTAAAGGCAATTTGCACCTTAACTTCAACCTCAATGCTTTGTTTTAAAACAATATTTATGGATGACCACCTGTTAATTGGCCCAGTGGGTAGAATTATTTCACTTCCCTAGCAGTCCATGGCCATGGTTAATGACCCCCAATAAAGCCTTACATCCTATGACTGTGTCATTGTCAGACACAGGGGATACTGATGATAAATCAGACAATGTCCCAATGTATCTTTTTCTTCTTCCGATTACCATGATTACGGGAAAGACTCCAGTGCCGGAGTGTGGAATATCCCGGAACTGGCGCTATTTAAATGAAAATGGAGGTAGAAAATTATAATATAAAATAAAATATTTGCCTCAGTCCAATTACAATACACCTAATCGCTATTTATTCCATTCCGGATAAGTTCTAAAATTACACAACTTTTTCATCCAGTTGAAGCTATCTGGGGCCCTGTTTAAACAATGCACCATGCATGATACTTGTTAATGAGATCTGTTTAAAACATCGTAAATACTTCAAAAAAAAATTTTTTTGACTATAATCATGATAATTTGAGTTTCGAAAAAGTGGATCATAATCTTATCAAAGTTTCATATTGATCGCTTTCTAAATTTTTCCCTCCCTCAGCTCGTTACTGATGACCAGTCAGGGGACTTATTGAAATAAGTGATTTTTAAATCACTTATTTAAGTAGCAAATTCGAAGTTTTGTCACAAATTGTGATTTTGTAGTTTTACCAAAATTTTAAACACACAGGTTTAGATAATTACTTTCATTAGTAAAATTGAAAAAAATGAACTTTTTGCTTATTTTAAGCAGCAAGGTTTATGCCTTTGATGCAATCATTTAGCTGCAAATTCTATTTTAGTTGAAAAAAATGCTATAAAAATGGCTTTACATAATGAACTGATACTTTCTTAACAGATTTTTCCCAGCAGTGGGAGTATTTTTCCTGTAACAGTCAAGGTTTCATCTTATAGATTATGTAATGAAATTCTACTGTTCGTGATCAAAATTTCACTGTTCGGGGGTGTTGAAATTAGTGGGGGTTATTAAAATAATGATACTTAAAGAAGTGATTTTTTGAAAGGAAATTGAGGTATGATACTTAAACAAGTGATTTTTATGTCATTATCCTAGATTTAATACAAGGTCATCACCTGACATGACCCGGTCATCCTATCAACACAGATGTTGGTTCTGATAATTTTAGCAACATAATTAGTACCTGGATCATTAGTATTCTATATTTAAAGCTACAATAAAATAAAATCACTTAGTCTAGTGATTAATTTGTACTACTTAAATAGGTGATTATTAAAGAAAGAGAACTCTTACAATGTACTTCCAACCTTTATGGACATAATATTACTTGAATCAGTGATTTAGAAAATCACTCATTTAAGTAAGTCCCCTGACTGATGACCTTTGTTGTTTGCCTGTTCAAGGCCTGTTGACCCAAACAGGAAGTTGTCTTAATGACTGTTTTTTCCGGATTGGACTAAATAGCGATAAGGTGTATTAAAATAACGTTGTAGCTTAATCATTAATGTTAAACATATTCACATTATGTACAGTGGCTTAAATACAATAGTTAATTTGCCAGACAGGATCCTCCAAATGTTAAGGTGGAGATATCACCTTTGAAGGATTCTAGGGAAGGTGACATGCAAATTGCCTCCTGAAGATCATTCCAAGCTGCAATAGTGCTTGGGAAAAAAAGAAGACTTATAATAGTCTTTACTTGTTTATATATGTCCAAACTTATGTTATCCTCTAGTACGCCTGTCTGATTGTGTCAGGACGTCATTAGGGACTTCAACCCCCCCATTAATCTTATAAATCAAAACAAGCTTTGCTTTTGTTTCTGGGGGATTGTAAGTAACCACCATGTCCACAGGAACTCTAATTGAAAAAAAGGCCCAGACATAACAAAATATAAACCAATGCAACAGAAAAAACCAACAGTTTGAATTATTTACTGAACAACTTTTGAAAAACAAATATGATATACAGTAACCTGGTAACAAACAACAACCACTGAATAATTTTACAGGCTCCTGACTTTGGAAAGGCACACCGATACATGTAATGTGTCTAGGCAAAACATGTTCTTGGGGAACCCAACCTTCTCCATACTAGGATAATGGTACATGTACAATTTATAACAATGCATATATAAGAACACACTTATTTAAATCCGTTGAAATGGCTTGACTCATCAGGTTGATTCAAGGCAAAAAAATAAAAAATACAAAAATACAAGAGGAAATACCCATAACTAAGATAAAAGGGCAGTTTTTTTTTTTATCATGGATACTTGGATTTCCTAAAACTTTTTTGTATGTCTCTTTTTACATGTTAACCATGTTAACAGTTTTATATAGAGAATAAATGAATCAATCCAATACTAATTGTGTACATGTATATACTAGAGGGTCTTAATGGGGGTACCTTTATGAGGAATATAGGTAAAAGATCTTGCCAAATGACGGTAATAGTAATTTTTGGTGCATGACGATAAAATGTACACTTTCTTTAAGGCTATAATAAAATTAACTGATTTTGACAAACCATGTTAATTTTTTTCCAAAAATAAGGGTAACGATAATTTTTTTAGAACTCTGACGAATCACAATAAGGATATTTTGACGAATGACGTTAAAATTTTAACCAGTTTGACGCTAACGGTAGCCAAAAATGACCGTTTGATACCTGACATTAAAGGGCATTTTTATCCTCATACTAACCTTGAGCATTAATATTGCCTTTACTTAGTCTGAAAATTGCTATTATTTCATCATGGTAACATCAATATCAATAGTGATTTGGAAACTTGTCTTTTAATAATATACATGTAGTGCAGACAATGGGATTCACATTTGCGGCACATCAGTGGTATTTAATGATCCAATGTTAAACAGGGTAATTAATTACATGTACAACCGTAGATAATTTACCAGCATTAATTCATTCTGAAGTATCACCACCAATCCTAGTTTTTAAGTGGATCAAATAACTGTTCGATATCATATGCAAAATATATAAGCGACATCTTACGAAACCACTATACCCTGCAAGAAAAAAATTTGGCGGAAGAAGAAAATTTTTTATTAAAAACCAATTGCACTTGTTCAAAGAACAATTGAAGGTCTTTCCTCATCAATTTTCTAAATAAATTATAAGAAGCTACTTCTGGTTTACTCAAAGCTACTATTGGCGTCCAATCATAGGTTTCTTCATACTGATTCAATAAATATATGGTTTCTATAGACTTTTGCCTGAACTAAAGGAGATAATTGCCAACTTCGGTTTAGAAAATTTCACTTCCGGTATCATATGATAGCTTTAAATATTCACATTGATTCCACAAATATATAGTTTGTATATACTTATGCCTGTATAAGGGAGATAATCTGCTACTTCCGGTTTATAAAATTTCACTTCCAGTCTCAAATGATAGGTTAATGTATGACCGTTCAAAAAATATATGGTTTCTATGTACTTTTACATGAAATAAGTGCAAAAATGACTACTTTCGGTTCACTCAAGGTCACTTCCGGTTTACATTTTTCACCGAACATTTCGCAAAAGATCTTATGGCTTTATCATGTACCAATCTGATTCTGAAGAAATAATCAATTTACCTTAAAATAAAACATGTTCAGGGGCAATAACTCCTATAAGATGTTGCTGTATTGTTTCAGACCAAATGTATCATATCTTCATCACAATATAACAAACATTTTGCACTAGTTCTTTTATATATAATGTTAGAAATATCGGAGAAAATGCAAAAACAAGCAAAAGTCACAATTCAGAACATGACCTTGGCCTTTGACCTTTACCTCATTCTCTAAGTTAGGACCCAAGGACCTCAAATAAAGATACTATAGCTTTCTACTGCTTACGGTTTATGAGTTACAAAAACTTTATGACAAATTTATTTGATAAAGGTAGATAGCTCCTATAAAATTTCACCGGATTGCTTCGATCCAAATTAGTCAAAAATTCCTTAGGATGTAATAACCAAATATGATAAAGAATTTTGTCGTTATCTTTTTTGGTTACAGAGGAGATACACTAACAAGAAAAACAGTGTTTGGGGAGATAACTCTTACAGTAAAAAGTCTTCGCCTTAACAAGATGAGTTTTAAAAGCGCAATAACTGTTCATTATAATATCCAAAATATCTAAGTGACATCATGCGAAACAACTTTACACCGCATGAAAAGGGTTTGGCGGAAGAAGAAAAAAAAAAAAATAATTAAAAACCAATTGTTCAGAGAACAATTGAAGGTCTTTCCACAGCAACTTTGAAATTTATTGAAAAGAAGCTAGTTTGTGTTAACTCAATGTTAAAATTGGCATCTTATCATCAGTTTCTTCATACTGATGCGATAAATAAGTGGTTTCTATAAATATATACCTCTGAGTGAAATAAGGGAGATAATTACCTAATTCCGGTGAAGTAAATGTCACTTCCGGTCTCATATAATAGTTTCTTTCACACTGATTCCAAAAATATATAGTTTCTGTATACCGGTACTTTTGCTTGTAAACCAGGAGATAATTGGCCACTTCTGATTTATCGAAAGTCATTTCTAATCTTCAGTGATAAGTTAATGTATTAAAATTACAAAATATATGGATTCCAAGTACTTTTCCATGAAGAAAGTGCAAAAATGGCTACTTCCGGTTTTCTCAAGGTCAAAAATTGAGAACTTGACCTTGACCTTTGACCTTGACCTCATTTTCTAAGTTAGGACCTCAAATAAAAAGATTCCAAGGTTATACGGTTAACGGTTTATGAGTTAAAAAAACATACTGACAAATTCATTTGGTAAAGGTAGATAACTCCTTTAAAATTTCATCGAATCGCTTCGATCCAAATTAGCCAAAAGTTCCTGAGGATGTAGCGAACAATTTAGAAAAAGAATTTTGTTGATATCTTTTTTTGTTACAACGGAGATGCACACACTTGATAAACAGTGAATAGGGAGATAACTCTTACAAAGAAAATTGTTCGACTAAGAATGGGTGAAAATAAAAAGCGCATAAACTGTATGATACTATATAAGAAATATCTTAGCGACATATTGTGAAACAAAAATTTTGCGCGATAACAAAATTTGGCGGAAGAAAAAAATAATAATCGGAACAAATACAATAGGTCTTTCCACAGAAAAGTGGAAAGACCTAATAATCAGAACAAAAACAATAGGTCTTTCCGCAGAAAAGTGGAAAGACCTAATAATCAGAACAAAACCAAAAGGTCTTTCCACAGAAAAGTGGAAAGACCTAAATATTTGATATATAGCAACAAATGACAATGTGATCTATTATTGTGAAACAAAGAGGTACAATGGAACTTTTAACGTGTTTAATATTATTTTTCAGGTTAAGAAGAAATAAGACAACATAGCATACATGGCATATCAAGCAAAATAAACCTATTATAAATTTATATAATGGCATCTACAGTTGATCCATTGGACTTAATAAATATAGAACAGAGGTTATTTACTTTGGAAGCAAATACTAACAAATTTAATCTCAACAGAAGTGAGAATCTCAGAAGAGTGCAAGAACAGACAAAAAACTGCTATACTGAAATCAGAGCTTTTAGAAAGGATGTCAACACCTTTTTGGATAAAATTGAACAGGCATTCTGTCAAGAGCTTTGGTCATTAGAAGTGGAACAAAGGGATAATATTCTATATGTTGTTCATGAACTTGAGAAAGTAAATCATGCTGTCATAACATTAAAAGCAACACTGAGAGAAATTAAAAACGGTGCCAGCAATGCCTATAATGAAAGTTTCGAAAAATTAAAAAAAGAATTATGTGAGAATGAAAACTCAGTGTATATTAAACTCTTTAACAGTAGTGGTGGGAGGGAACTGGACCTTAATATGTTGTTAAATCCTGAATTACAAACATTAACTAGTAAGATTCAATCTCTAGGTGATGTGTATTTTGCACGTGGTCCATCAAGGATTGAGTTTGATGAGAAGAATACATTTATGGTTGATACTGAAATGACAAAAGAATCTCAAAGTGAAAAAAATGACAGAGAAGATGGGAACAAAGAGGAGGGAAGAAAAGGTTAGAGCTCACATTTTATACTTTGAAGGACGCCTCCGGGTGCGGGAATTTCTCGCTGCATTGAAGACCTGTTGGTGACCTTCTGCTGTTGTCTGTTCTATGGTCGGGTTGTTGTCTCTTTGACACATTCCTCATTTCCATTCTCAATTTTATTTCTATGGGTTATTTTTCATTGTAATTGTGTCAAACATGTCAGAAAGTTTGTTAACTGACATAAAACTTGATAAAAGGTCTGTCAATTGCAAAGATTCTATTAATTAACCACACAGCAATGTCCACATGTCTTATCTTGTATAAGTCAGACACTACAATTGTTTACAAAACTAATATTATCAACAACTCTTATTAAAGAAGAGGGACGAAAGATACCAGAGGGACAGTCAAACTCATAGATCGAAAACAAACTGACAACGCCATGGCCAAAAATAAAAAGACAAACAGACAAATAATAGTACAGATGACACAACATAGAAAACCAAAGACTAAGCAACACGAACCCCATCAAAAACTGGGGGTGAGATTAGGTGCTCCGGAAGGGTAAGCAGATCCTGCTCCACATGTGGCACCCGTCGTGTTGCTTATGTTATTACAAATCCGGTAAATAGTCTTAATTCGGTAAGTCATATTATTAACTGTGCAAGATATGGAAACATATTTTCTTTTGTGGTTTTGGAATATTTTAAGAAGTAACAAAAACAGTGGAACATGAAGTTTTTTTGTTGTTGTTGTTACATTGTATGGATTGTGCTACCTTAACCAAATTGTAATACATATATAGTAAATAGAATCAGCATGCACGTGAAGCAGAGATTTGAATCCAATTTATCTGTTTGATTTTAAATTTGTCTAAAAGAAATAATGCTTTTATATTTCAGACGTATCAACGTTTATTTTTCAATCACAAGAAGATTCAGAGCTGATATGTAAAGTCAAACAAGAACCAATTGAGGATTGCCCAATTACTACAGAACCTTTGCCTTCTAATATGTCAGTACATGTATCTAGTGTTACTCAATCACAAGGTATTCCGGTAACCATGGTTACATGTACCACACCATATTTTATACGACCACTTTTGACGTCTGCCATTCATGCTCCTATTGTTATGCCTGCAAAAGTGTCTTCAGCGCCTACAATGCAATTTCCTGTTCCCATTCAGTCTGGAAATAACAGAGCCCCAGCTACATTTCAATTACCATCAGGTAGTAATGTTCAGTCTTCACTCATGGCAGCAAAACAGCCGTATCTTATTAGATTCATGCCAATAGATATGAATTCAAAGATAATCAGACGTTTTCCTTTGGTACCTGTTATGCCAGCTTCAACAAATGCACCTACCTGTACATCTACTGGTAATCAATTACCGGAAACCCAACTACAAATGGCGCTACAGTCAATCGATCAACCCAATCATCCATATTTATCTCCGGTTAATGAGCCTGGAAACATTCAAAATATTGTTGCTATACAGACAGATAGTGAATTAAAACAATATGACCAGCAATTAATTAAGTTAGAACCATTGAGTCCACAACCATGTATGTCACCTGAGAGTGAACAACCACCTTCTGTGGAGGAGCTACTATCAGAGATAGAAAAGAATAATGAGGATGACCAACCATCAACAAAAAAACGTGGACGATTCCAAAGAATGACCGATGAAGACATGGAGGAGTTACAAGAAACAAATTTTGAATCCAAATCTACGCAAGCCAACACAAGATGGGGTGTAAAAATGTTTCAAGGTAATCTAAAAGCGTTTTACTTTTTTTAATGGTAAATATATCCCAAGTAAGATTTTTTTTATTATTCAGTCAGAGGTCAGACTTAAACAATTCTTATTTTGCTTCTGACTTACTAGTCTAAGCCAAATTATGTATCATGATAAAATTATGTGTACAGCTTTGGACAAGTCTTAAGTCAGAAAATGTCAGACATGTCTAACAATGTTTAAGTCAATTTACGCTTCATTAAACAGCATGAAAACACTTTATTACACTATGGGTCTAAATTTCTTCTCCTACGACCATGATGACAATAAAAACTTCAGAGAATTTACAAGGACATTTTTTAGAACAGTTCAAACAAAGGTATCATAATTTCTTGTTTTTAGAACAAAAAAGCTAATTATCAAATTCTTACCAACCAAATAATGATTATCACAGAAATTTTTCTATAGTCATTTCATAGTCTAAAAAAAAGGAAATATGTTCTGGTCAGTTCATGAAATGTAGCACTTAAAATCTGTATATTTTTCACCTTTTGTTTTGCATAAAAAGCTGTATGTCATCATGATCATGGTCATGTATGTATGTACTGTATATATTATATTATTATATTTTGAGTTATTCAGAGGGCATCAGAGGAGATTAGTATTGTACTACATATAGCTAACTGATTTTACCCTCTTTAAATAAAATATTTATTGCTTCGCATCATGGTGCGGAGCTATCAGTTTCAGTCGACATACACGCCATCTTCAAATAATTACTTGTCACATAGATTCTCATTGGTTGCTTTATGATGCGGCTGAGATACAGCAACAGCTATTAGCTTAAATGAGATAAAGAATTACAGACTTTTCTCGTCTCAGAATAAGACATCAAATGCCGGAAAATTAACTATGTGTATTTCAGTTCTGATCAACTGTCATTAATTCATGTTCGTTTTATTATGCTTATATTGCACACTGAAATTCAATATTGAGATATCAATTATTAATACGTGTTTATTTGCTTTGTTAATCTGCAATATGCATGATCTGTTTTGCTAAACAATGTTCCTATACAATGTTTACAAAAATGCATTATTTGTATTTTATAACTTCTGCCAATCTAGGCACACCCCCAGAGAGGCCCACCTCCAGAGTCAATCAATATCTAAAAATACCACATTTCCAATACTAAATCAACAACCACATGCACACATATTACCATGATTACCTTAAATAAATTAGGATAGAGCGAAGCAGTCCACAGCTTTTTAGAAAGCTCAAACTTCTTATTATTATTATTATAAAGACCTGAGCAGTCTTCCAGTAATGATCTGATTGAACATGTTTTCCACTTATGTACGTTTTTTATCAGTGTAAGTGGTTTTGAATGATTGCATTAGAAAGTAAATAGATAGTATCTTCGTTCTTTTAGCTTTCATATTTTACTTCACGAGACAAAACATTGCTTTATAACGTTGTCTCAATTTGTTGTTGATACTTGAACTTCATATATTTGTACATGGGTCTTGAAGTTAGCCAATTTTGGTAACTTATATCTACTTGTAGAAGTCAATAATCACAGTATTTTGATTCATGAAAAATATTTTTATGCCCCACCTAGGGGTATTATGTTTTTCGGTCTGTGTGTCCGTTCATTCATTCGTCCATCCTTTCGTCCTTCCTTCTGTTGGTCTGTCCCGTTTCAGGTTAAGATTTTTGTCAAGGTAGTTTTTGATGAAGTTGAAGTCCAATCAACTTGAAACTTAGTACACATGTTCCCTATGATATGATCTTTCTAATTTTAATGCCAAATTAGAGTTTTGATCCCAATTTCATGGTCCTCTGAACATAGAAAATGATAGTCATGATAGTGCGAGTGGGGCATTCATGTACTATGGACACATTCTTGTTTGCTTTTGAAGTTGTATTTTGTTTTAAATCAAAGGGAGACAACACAAGAAACATACAAATTTAGACCTATGTGTATGAGCAAAATAAGATATATTTATTTCTGCAGTCTGTCTGTTATTGTCATAAATATTGCATTCATGTTCTAATTAAAACCTATTATGCTACTGGCTTAAAAGCTGTATTTTCCAGACCATATCGCTACGTTTGAGATAAAATAAGATAAAGGTAATATTAAAATTGGAGTGTCATGGACAAATAAAATTGTCTCCCATTAAAATATACCTTCCATTGCTAATGCAAATTTACATTGCAATGTTGAACTTTGAATTTACACGGCAAAATAAATACAATCTTTACCCTTCAGAGCTCACTAGTACTTTGATTAGACTATTAAATTACATAGATGTTTGATATGAAATGTATGATCTGATCATGAAGACATCATGTTTTTTTTTAGTTTCCGTTCTCTTTCTTAAGTTTGCCTCAACCAAATGTTATGAAACTTATACACAATGCTTATTACCACAAAACACAGATCAATTTTAAATTTTGGTGGCGTCACTTTAACCGTTCTAGAGTTATGCCCCTTTATAAATGGAAAAATTGCAAAATTTTTATTTTCTTCTAAATATCAAGTTTTATTTTAAATTGGAGTTATCTTCCTTTGTCCATGATTATAGTTGAATCAACTACAATCAATGCTTTAAACAATGCAATGTTTAATTTTGACTTCCACTGATAAAACACAGATCAAGTTGAATTTGGATAGTGTCACTTTAACCATTATTGAGTTATGCCCCTTTATAAATCGAAAGATTGCAAAATTTTTAGTTTCCATTCTGTAACTTAAGTTTGCCCCAACCAAACATTATGAAACCTATACACAATATTCATTACCACAAAACTAAGATCAAGTACAAATTTTTTGTTTCCTTTTTCTAACTTTAGTTTGCCTCAACCAAATGTTATGAAACTTATACACAATGCTTATTACTACATAATACAGATTAAGAACGAAATTTGGTGGCAACACTTTTACCATTCTTGAGTTATGTCCCTTTATAAACAAAAAAATTGCTGAATTTTTAGTTTCCGTTCTCTAACTTTAGTTTTTCTCAACCAAATGTTATAAAACTTATACACAACCGTTCTAGAGTTATGCGTGTTTACAAATAGAAAAATTGCTGAATTTTTAGTTTCTGTTCTCTACTTAAGTTAGCCTCAACCAAATGTTATGAGACTTACACACAATGCTTATTACCACAAAACTCAGATCAAGTTCAAATTAGGGTAGCGTCACTTTTACCGTTCTTCAGTTATGTCCCTTTATAACTATATGATATGCAAGCGGGGGCATCATCTGTGTCCACATGTGGACACTATCCACATTTATTTATTTGGAACATTTTCTGTTAACTCTGACATATATGCCCCTCATTGTCTTTTATTCATATGATATTTTATAACCTAAGATAAAAAAAAATGAAACAATTGAAACAAGATGGATTTCAGTTGTATGTATTAGTAACTTTTGGAAATGCTAATATTGTGCATTTAAATTAAATTTGGTATTTTATAACATGTATAACTTTGTATTACATTGTATACATGTAATATGGAATATTGTAAGATAATGGAATTGTAACGATTTATTTAGATTAAGACCAGAGAATTATATAGTTCGTAAAAAAATCCTTCAAAAATTGGTATGTACAAACTGTATTATACATCACAAAACTATTTCAGCATGTTCAGTATTTAAAAATGAAAAAAATATTAAAAATCTTTTTAACGATATCCTCTAGACAAAATGTAAGATGTTCACAAGACATAAAATCTGTCAATTGTACAATACATGTGTCTTACACAGAATAAAAGATGATTTGGGGTATACCATGTATACTATAGGCATTCAAACTTCTTGGCTTTAATGAAAAAATATGTAAAAAACTGTTGACACTGTCACACAGGGATATATATGTCTTGCCTGCATAACCTATTAACGACGTAATAAGTTTCAAAGTCAATATATTGTGTCTGACTGGTCCAGTTCAAATAGATCTCCATGGAAATAAGATGTGCAATGGTAATTCTACTTCTTCCAAACATCAGTAGTCATGGAAGTTGACCTTTTATAAGTGGTTCCCCTGAATTGAAGTGATCCTAAATTTGATCAATTATTGATGCAACCTGAAACAGCATGTCTAAGTCTTGCTTCTGTAACTTCATTGAAAAAAGAAAACTGCCAAAAATTGCCACATTTATTTTAATCTTCCCTTCAAGTATTAAGAAATTAGAAAAACCCTTACAGAAAAAAAGATATTTTGCTTTTAGATGCCTTATTCAAAGGTGTACTCTATTAAGGTTTATGCATTTTATGGGTGAAAACTATTGATGCTTTAATCTCCATGTAAAATGGCATTTTTTTAACCTACATTTAATGCTTCATTGACTTTCTATTTATAGACTGGCTGTTTTATTTTCAAGTTCATATCTCAGTATATTACATGTATTAGAGTTGTTAGCTCCACCCACCCTAAATGAACCAGAATTATTTTACCTGTATATTCATGATATTAGTATTGTGCATTGATAATATTATACTATTTGAGTGCTTGTTTAAAATAAACTCTTACATACTAATTATGAAATTAAAGATTGTCTGGACTTCTATTTCCGTGATTATGTATACTTATTTACACTCACAATTTAAGCCACCTGCAATCAGGGTCAACCTGAAGGCTGAAATAATATTAAATAAAAAATCTCAATTTTTTGGTGATGAAGAAATCAATTCATTGGCAGCCTAAGATGCCTCAAACTGTGATTTGTATATATAGTTAAAACATGTAAAAACTGCAGATTCATTTACATTACAAAATGATTGAGAAATGGGAAAAAAATCACTTGCAGCACCTATCAGACACTGTGTCCCTATTGTACAAGAAAACCAAAAGAAAGCTAGATTTAAAAAGGGATGTTTGATGAAGACTTACAGCAACACCAGAAAGACTTTCATCAGTCCAAATCCACAAAAGCAAACAAGGTGGGTTTTTAATTTTTTTAAATTTCTTTCCCCTAAATTTTTCTGATTAGGATCCTTTCACATATACTAGCCCG